ACCACCCAAAATGTAGTGACTCAAACAGTAACAATAACCATAAAACAACTGTGTTACCTGCATGGCTCTGAGGATGGACTTCTTAGAGTTCACATGGGGTTGTCATCAGCGGCTGGCCTCTGAAGGCATATTCACCTCTATGCCAAGCCCCTAGGGTGGGGAGATTGAAAGAGCTGGGCTCAAGCCTTTCTCCACCTTCGTGTGGTCTCTCCAGTATGATGGCTTCAGGGCAGCCAGACTTAGGTGCCGACTCAGGCGCTTGCACCAGCTCACGAGAGCAGGTTGTGGGCAACTCTTCCCGAGCCCCCAGCTCAGGGGCTTCACATTGGTGGCTTGCAATCAGCCATGGTAGGGGATCGTACACTGCAGAGATCAGCAAATGCTGCAAACCCAGACTCATCCTTTCCCCCCTAGAGACCTAGTAGTTAAATATTTAGCAGCACACCCCTGGACTCAGGGCTTCTGGGGCACAGGAACCGAGAGAGAAGCAGAGGCTGTATCCTTTTTTATTATCCAGCGTCCGAAATCCCTTACCATGTCTTTTCTGCGGTGCTCTGAAAGTTGAAGCAGTCACAAAGGCCTGCCCGGGTCGAGGGGAGGGCTGTGGACTCCACTTGTCAGTGGCCAGTGGTCAAGTCCTGGAAGAGCATGTCAGATAGGATATATTAATTGTAGCCACTAGGGGAGGATACGGTCTGCCAGAGCATCAAGGGTCCTTGGAAATGGAATAGCAATGCCACCCCCAGTCACTGTGACAACCAATAAAATAACTGCCCCCCCAAATGTCTTGGCAGCCAGCAGTGCCATGCCTTACATGTCGCATGCTGACCCAGCTGGTAGTTGGCATCCAGCCACGTGGACATGGTGGCTATGAGGCCCCTCAGGGCCCTCAGCTGAGCTTTTGTCCCAAACAAGCACTCTGTATACTCGGGGCTCCTAAAGCACATCACTGAAGGTTTTTGCTCCTCGGTGAAGTCTGGCTGCTCTTGTTTGTGAGGGGACCACCCCCAGCTTTAGAGATCCCTCGTTTGCCATGACCAGGTATTCTTAAAGAGAGCCAAGCCAGGGAACTGCATACACTCTGGTGAATCTCGTGTCCATGACAGGCAAACTGGTGGGCTTGCTTGTAAATTGCCACTAGCTGCTAATGCAGCCACCTGGGGAAATGCAGCTCCTAGCCTCTAAAGCCTGTCTGATAATTTCAGTCACTCTACAGTGGCGTGAAGGGGGCATCAGGCTTTTTGTCATGTCTACAGACCACTTGCCTAATAGAGGCTTATTTCTTGAAAGACCTTAATCAATTTATTTAAAAATAATAACAGCTGACATGAATACTCACCAGCATTAGATAACCTAACAAGCACTAGATTATTCATTGAAGCCTCTTAACCTAGGACAACCTCCAATGATCATTTTGTCCATTAAACAAGATGATGGGATTCAGTGAGATGATCCAGCTTAAATGCTCAGCATGGTGGCTTAATAAGGGCCCAATAAATGTCACCAGATGAAAATATCATAGCTAAATGGTTGTGCATTTTTTATGATGTGTAATAATAATGGCAACTAACATAATTTAGTGTTTAGTAATTTCATCTTCCTGGACACCAGCAGTTTTTCTTACATGCTTTCCCATTACATCCTCACAACAATGCTATTAATAAGTAAGTACTATTAACATCCTTATTGTCAGTAGAGACAACTGAGGTGCAAAGAGATTAAATGATGTGCCCTGGGTCATATAACTAGTGAGGGACATGGCAGAGACTCAAACCCAGGCTGGCTGGACCTAGGCCCCATTCATTCACCACCAGGGAAGTTGTGGATAAAGTGAAGGTTCCTGTGGCCAGGATTCTCACCTGACCCCAGTTGGCTAGCTCACTACGCATGTATGGGCAATGCATCGTTATTGACTCTATATAAAGAGCCCTGCCCTGTGCTCTGGGCAACACGGTGGCACGGCTGCAAGGCTTCAGGAGAGCAGAGCAGAGACTGGAGTGGTAGCAGGGCTGAGGACAGAGCCAGAGGACAGCTGTGAAGGCCAAGAAGCCCAGAGGACAGCTGTGTGGGCTGAGAGGCCCAGAGGCAGACACCGGCTTGCTGCACGCAGACTTGCTCTGAGTGAACAGGATTTTAGTGATTGACCTGCCACCATGGAAATAAAGTTGGGTATAACCCGTTCACCCAAACAATCTTTTACTCTCATGTCTTTGGTCACATTAAATCCATACTTTTCCGGGGCTGAAACCGATTGGCAAGACAGGAATGAGATGAGTTTTTCAATAGGTCTCGAGTTCATCACTGAGCTCTTGTTAAATAAAGGTGTTTCACCTCACCACGCCTCAGTTTCCTCATCTGCGGAGTGGATCTCTGGTGTGATTCATTCCTTCATTCATGTAACATCTCTTTACTGAACACTTTATTGAATGCCTATCAGACACTAGTATGCAGTATGCAAATGAACAACAGTTCTGCTCTCCTGGTGATGATGGTGTGGTTAGGGAGACAGATAGAGAAGAGAATTGAGTAAATTATAATACTTCCACATGGTGTTTTAGGAGGTGACAAATGCTTTTGAAAAGTACAAAGGAAGGAAAGGGAGGAGGGAGAAGGCAGTGGCCTTGAAGTTCTGAAATGGTAAATAAGGTGGCTCAGGGTGGTCTCATAGAGAACTTGACACTTGAGCAAAGACTTGAAGTATGGAGGTGAGCAAAGAAATCCTCTGCATCCAGATGGAGGAACAGGCCATGCAAAGGGTCCAAGGTGAGGAGGCTGGTGTGCCAGGGACAGAGAGAGGGAGCTGAGAGGGCAGGGACGTGACTGAGCAGATCGTGCGGACTTGCTGGGTCACAGGAAGGACTCTGCCTTTCCCCTGGGTGACACAGAGCCACAGGAGGGCTGTGAGCAGGGCAAGGACAAGACCAGACTCAGGTGTTCACACTGGACCTGGCTACTTACAAGAAGCAGAGAGGCAGTGATGATCCAGGTGAGAGCTGATGCACATGGTGGAAATCTGCAAGGGAGTGAGTGTTACTGGAGGAAAGAGGAAGTTCAAGGACCAATCCCTGACACTGCAAGATCAGACGGAGGAAGAAAGAACAGCCAAGGAGCTGGCCAAGCAGATAGGAGGGGTCCAGAGCTTGTGTGCTGCCCCAGGGCCAAGTGAAGAAGCTGCTGCTCACAGGTCCAGCAAGGTGAGGACTGAACAGTGACCTCACTTTCGCTTAACACCAAAGGGTCACTGATGACCTTGACATTTCAGGGTGAAGAAGGGAGCAAAGCCCGATTAGAGAAGGGTTAAGAGAGAACAAGAATCGAAAATATGGAGGTAGCACGTGTAGACAACTTTTTAAGAAGGTTTACCATACACAGGAGCAGAGAAATGAGGATGTAGCTGGATGGGGAGGTGGAGTCAAGAGAAAGTTTGTTTTCAGGTAAGATATATGCCACTGTGAGTGGGCTGTGGGAATGGATCCAGAGCAGAGGGGGAGAAGGGAAGGTGCAGCAGAGAGGGGAGCACTGTGAGGCATGGCCTGAAGCAGGCCACAAGTGGACAGCTGACTTACTAGGGGGCAGTCATGGTAGGCACAAGGCTGGGAGGTGATAGATGGGGTGGTAGGGCCTATGGAAGTTTGCTTCTCATCGTTTGTATTTTTTCTGCAAAATAAGAAGCAAGGGGAGAGTGAAGAGGTAGAAGGAGATATTATGGGCTCCGGGACAGAGAAGAAGGTATGAAAGGATTACCTATAGAGAGGAACAGCAGGTGGATAAGAGAAATGTAATCTGATTGCCGGCAGCATTAGGGGCTTGAGGCTCAAGTTCTCAAACCTGAAGTGAGACCAGAGTGGAGCTGTGTGTTCTTCAGCCATTTTAAACTGTGGGCACAGGTGCAGGGTAGGCAGAGGGCTGGATTTAACCGGGGTCATGTGTAGGAGGAAGCCAGAGGAGGCAAGGGTGTAATGCAAATAATGTTTTTAACAATTAGCCAAGGAATTGAAACTGAATTAGGAAGAAATGAGGACTTGAGGGGGTGAGGAGCAGTGAAAAGGAAGTAGGCACAAAGGATGGAAGATCACAGTGGGCTGGAGGGATTGTGGGGTCTCAGGCCCTGGAAGAAAAGAGCTGGAAAGAGAGGAGGTGATGGGTGACAAGCAAGATGCCTATGGTTGAGGTCCTGAAGAGCTATTCAGACAAAGTATAGTTGTGACCATGGCAGGGAGGGGCTGAGAGGAGAGCAGCTCTGAGAACAGAGGTGGGGGTGGCAAAAGGAAGGGTCACCTACCTGGATAGAGAAATCACCAAGAATGTTGATAGGAACAGCAGTAGTGGTATGAGCCCAGAGCTAAAATGGAGAAGTGACGGGTAGTGATCTGGGTCAGCAGGTGATGCGCGAGGTGGGGTAGTGAACAATCTACTCTGATGATATGAGATTCACAGCTGAAGGGTTTGGGGGAAGATGGAGGGAGAATGGCCTGGAAAGGAGCAAGGAGATTTACCCACTTCGAAGGGCCACATGAGTGCTTGGTTCTGATTAGAGCAAGGTGACAAGAATGTTCAGTGACGAAACTGAGAAAACAGATTTTGCCGAAGATAGTTCATGAGTTCCAAAGGCCCAAGAGGTCGGCACAGGTCGGGGGATGAAGTGGAAATGGTTTCCTCCTCGGTGGGTTTTCCTCTTGAGTCTTCAGTGTGCTTATGGTCATATATATGAAGTGCTCGGCCTCAATGTGCCAGACAAAGATGGAAGCCAGGGTCAGCAGTCCTGGTGGTCACAGACAGGCCAGGGGTCTGTTGCTCAAGGGGGAAAGGTGGGGAGAAGCTGATTCCGGAGGAATCCAGGCGGCAGGAACTAGGTGCCCGATTTTCGCAGCCATGGCAGTTCTCCGACCGTCCATTGGAGCTGGTGAGGTCACAGTCAAGCTGTGGGGACCTTGTGTCCTGGGAAGAGAGATTGAGAGAGGCCAAGCCGCCCTGACCTGCCGACCCTTCTCAACCTGCAGGACTCTGGAGGCCGGAGATGGGCGCCCGGCAATCGTGGCAGCGGCTGCCCGCAGACCCGCCCACAGCCTTGGACGCGCTGCCCCCGGAGCTGCTCGTGCAGGTGCTAAGCTACGTGCCTCCGCACGCGTTAGTGACTCGCTGCCGCCCAGTGTGCCGCGTCTGGCATGACGTAGTGGACGGGCCCACCTTGTGGCTGCTGCAGCTGGGAGGAGTTCCCGCTGTGCGCCCTGGCGCGCTACTGTCTCTGTGTACCGCTGGGCCGCAACCTCATCTTTAACTCCTGCGGAGAGCGTGGGGGCCAGGGCGGGGCCAGGGCCGCCAGGGGGCGTGGTCGAGGAAAGAGGCGCGAGGCCAGGAGGGGTCTGGAAGGTAGATAGACCGGGTGGGAGGAGCCGAGGGCTGCGGCAGTGGAGGGAAACAAAACCGTTGGGAGAGAGAGTGGGAGGGGCCACGGGCGGGACTGGATGCTCACTGTAGGCTAGGTGGGCGTGGCTAAAGAGGGAGGAGCCGGGGAGAAGCCGATTAGGTGCTGACAGAGACGGGGCTTGCACAGAGCTATACGGCCTCACCGAGGACCTGTGGGAGGGGAAAGAGAGTGGGTGGGGCAAAGACAGGAGGAGATTGGAGGCTGTGGTTGAAGGAGTGGGAGCCGGGGGCGGTGGGGGCAAAACTGAGCTGATAGCGAGACAGATGGGAGACAGACCTGCCGCGTGGGGCACGGTGGGGTTGAGGAGGAGCTGGGTGGAAGGGCAGGACTGAGTGGGCATGGTCGTGGGGAGGGACCAGTAATGCCCGTGCCTGGGAGGCAGGGCCAGGGGAGAAGGCGGAGTGCGTCAGGGAGAAGCTGGAGGGCAGCGCAATTTGGTGGAATCCCTTGTCTTCAACCCTACTGTACCTTACTTACAGAAGGCTTCAGAGGCTGGAGGTGGCACACGGCGGCAACGGCTGGGTCATGGAAAAGAACTTACTGGTGCCTGGGGCTCCTTCTCAGACCTGCTTCCTGACTTCTTTCCTGTGAGTGGCCTTTGGTACTGAGGCATAGGCCTCAGGTAGAGAGGGGGCCACTTCCGTAATGTCCTGTCCTCACCCTCATCCCCCTTCATCCTCTCCTTCATTTATTTATTCAGTCAATCAACAGATATTGTTGAGGGCCTGGCAGGTACCAGGCACCATTCTACATGAGGCCTGAAGCAGGCCACAAGTGGACAGCTGACTTACTAGGGGGCAGTCATGGTAGGCACAAGGCTGGGAGGTGATAGATGGGGTGGTAGGGCCTATGGAAGTTTGCTTCTCATCGTTTGTATTTTTTCTGCAAAATAAGAAGCAAGGGGAGAGTGAAGAGGTAGAAGGAGATATTATGGGCTCCGGGACAGAGAAGAAGGTATGAAAGGATTACCTATAGAGAGGAACAGCAGGTGGATAAGAGAAATGTAATCTGATTGCCGGCAGCATTAGGGGCTTGAGGCTCAAGTTCTCAAACCTGAAGTGAGACCAGAGTGGAGCTGTGTGTTCTTCAGCCATTTTAAACTGTGGGCACAGGTGCAGGGTAGGCAGAGGGCTGGATTTAACCGGGGTCATGTGTAGGAGGAAGCCAGAGGAGGCAAGGGTGTAATGCAAATAATGTTTTTAACAATTAGCCAAGGAATTGAAACTGAATTAGGAAGAAATGAGGACTTGAGGGGGTGAGGAGCAGTGAAAAGGAAGTAGGCACAAAGGATGGAAGATCACAGTGGGCTGGAGGGATTGTGGGGTCTCAGGCCCTGGAAGAAAAGAGCTGGAAAGAGAGGAGGTGATGGGTGACAAGCAAGATGCCTATGGTTGAGGTCCTGAAGAGCTATTCAGACAAAGTATAGTTGTGACCATGGCAGGGAGGGGCTGAGAGGAGAGCAGCTCTGAGAACAGAGGTGGGGGTGGCAAAAGGAAGGGTCACCTACCTGGATAGAGAAATCACCAAGAATGTTGATAGGAACAGCAGTAGTGGTATGAGCCCAGAGCTAAAATGGAGAAGTGACGGGTAGTGATCTGGGTCAGCAGGTGATGCGCGAGGTGGGGTAGTGAACAATCTACTCTGATGATATGAGATTCACAGCTGAAGGGTTTGGGGGAAGATGGAGGGAGAATGGCCTGGAAAGGAGCAAGGAGATTTACCCACTTCGAAGGGCCACATGAGTGCTTGGTTCTGATTAGAGCAAGGTGACAAGAATGTTCAGTGACGAAACTGAGAAAACAGATTTTGCCGAAGATAGTTCATGAGTTCCAAAGGCCCAAGAGGTCGGCACAGGTCGGGGGATGAAGTGGAAATGGTTTCCTCCTCGGTGGGTTTTCCTCTTGAGTCTTCAGTGTGCTTATGGTCATATATATGAAGTGCTCGGCCTCAATGTGCCAGACAAAGATGGAAGCCAGGGTCAGCAGTCCTGGTGGTCACAGACAGGCCAGGGGTCTGTTGCTCAAGGGGGAAAGGTGGGGAGAAGCTGATTCCGGAGGAATCCAGGCGGCAGGAACTAGGTGCCCGATTTTCGCAGCCATGGCAGTTCTCCGACCGTCCATTGGAGCTGGTGAGGTCACAGTCAAGCTGTGGGGACCTTGTGTCCTGGGAAGAGAGATTGAGAGAGGCCAAGCCGCCCTGACCTGCCGACCCTTCTCAACCTGCAGGACTCTGGAGGCCGGAGATGGACGCCCGGCAATCGTGGCAGCGGCTGCCCGCAGACCCGCTCACAGCCTTGGACGCGCTGCCCCCGGAGCTGCTCGTGCAGGTGCTAAGCTACGTGCCTCCGCACGCGTTAGTGACTCGCTGCCGCCCAGTGTGCCGCGTCTGGCATGACGTAGTGGACGGGCCCACCTTGTGGCTGCTGCAGCTGGGAGGAGTTCCCGCTGTGCGCCCTGGCGCGCTACTGTCTCTGTGTACCGCTGGGCCGCAACCTCATCTTTAACTCCTGCGGAGAGCGTGGGGGCCAGGGCGGGGCCAGGGCCGCCAGGGGGCGTGGTCGAGGAAAGAGGCGCGAGGCCAGGAGGGGTCTGGAAGGTAGATAGACCGGGTGGGAGGAGCCGAGGGCTGCGGCAGTGGAGGGAAACAAAACCGTTGGGAGAGAGAGTGGGAGGGGCCACGGGCGGGACTGGATGCTCACTGTAGGCTAGGTGGGCGTGGCTAAAGAGGGAGGAGCCGGGGAGAAGCCGATTAGGTGCTGACAGAGACGGGGCTTGCACAGAGCTATACGGCCTCACCGAGGACCTGTGGGAGGGGAAAGAGAGTGGGTGGGGCAAAGACAGGAGGAGATTGGAGGCTGTGGTTGAAGGAGTGGGAGCCGGGGGCGGTGGGGGCAAAACTGAGCTGATAGCGAGACAGATGGGAGACAGACCTGCCGCGTGGGGCACGGTGGGGTTGAGGAGGAGCTGGGTGGAAGGGCAGGACTGAGTGGGCATGGTCGTGGGGAGGGACCAGTAATGCCCGTGCCTGGGAGGCAGGGCCAGGGGAGAAGGCGGAGTGCGTCAGGGAGAAGCTGGAGGGCAGCGCAATTTGGTGGAATCCCTTGTCGTCAACCCTACTGTACCTTACTTACAGAAGGCTTCAGAGGCTGGAGGTGGCACACGGCGGCAACGGCTGGGTCATGGAAAAGAACTTACTGGTGCCTGGGGCTCCTTCTCAGACCTGCTTCCTGACTTCTTTCCTGTGAGTGGCCTTTGGTACTGAGGCATAGGCCTCAGGTAGAGAGGGGGCCACTTCCGTAATGTCCTGTCCTCACCCTCATCCCCCTTCATCCTCTCCTTCATTTATTTATTCAGTCAATCAACAGATATTGTTGAGGGCCTGGCAGGTACCAGGCACCATTCTACATGCCAGAGATACAAGGAAAATTCAGAAAGATCAGGAACCTACTCTTTTCATTTGCATTTTAGATGTAGGGTTGAGGCAGAGGGTAACCAACATCTAGTAAATGAGGCACTGAGATTTGCACCCAGGTAATCTGGCTTCAGAGCTTCTGATTGCGGTAAGTGCTATGAAGACATCAGAACAGTTTGCTGGTGGATTTACTTTATCCTCTTACCCGATACCCATTTCTCTTCTCCTCTCCCTGCACGGTCAACTATTCTCATGTGGCATTATTCAGCTTCCTAGTTGTTGCCATTAAATGATATCTCATTGTGTTTTATTTTTTTTTTGGTATCATTAATCTACAATTACATGAGGAACATTATCTTTACTAGGCTCCCCTCTTCAACAAGTCCCCCCCACATGCCCCCTTACAGTCACTGTCCATCAGCGTAGTAAGAGGCTGTAGAATCACTACTTGTCTTCTCTGTGCTGCACATCCTTCCCCGTGCTCCCCCCCGACATTATACACGCTAATCATAATGCCACCTTTCTTTTTTCCCCCCCTTATGTGTTTTATTTTGCATGTTTTGATTTACTAATAGTGAAGCACCTCTCCGTGTGCTCGTTAGTTTTTTTGGATTCCCTCCTTTGTAAATTGCCAGCTCATATTTTCTGTTAGGGTTGATGTCTTCTTGTTGATACACAAGAATTCCTTCTATATTCTAGATGTCAGTCCATCCTGGACATTGTGGAAATCTATTCTATCATCTGTATTAACTGTGTCCATGGTGTTCTTTGTTGTTACTCTCCTGTGACCAAATCCATCTCTCTCTCTCTCTTTTTTGGCTTAGAATTTATTTTTGAGATTTTGTTTAAAAAGTCCTTTCCTACCCTTAGATCATAACAATTCTCTCTTATAATCTCCTTTTGTAACCTTATAGTTTTATCTTTCACCTTTAGATCTTTAATCTGCTTTTGAATGCAGATTTAGGTAAGGATCCAGTTCCCCCCCCACCTTCTATATATTGAGCCAGTTTTCCAACACCATCTATAAAGACTCCATTCCTTCCCCATGGAATGGCAGTGCTGCTTCTATCATTTATGAAGTTCCCATACATTCCTCAGTCTGTCCCTGAGCACTCGGTTCTGTTCCACTAGTCACCTTATCCATTCTTCCACCAGTACTATACTGTTTCTGTTATTATGGCATATTCAGATAGGGGAGGACTGTTTACAAAGGTGCAGGCAAGCAAGGGTTACTGCATGACCCCAGGCTAGTAACAGTGAGGAGAGTTATTACCACCTCTGGGCCTGACAGTTAAAGGGAGGAGGAAGTTAGTGAAACACAAGACAGAGAGGGCTATGAGGAGAGGGCACAATGGAGCTTTGCCCTTTCATTCAGAGGCACGGCAGTCCCACGGCGATCCCTTGGGAGGGAGCCAGGAGGATAAATGCCTGATTTCATGTTCTTCTCTCCCATCTCCTGCTGGAGCTTCCCATTGGCTCCCCAACAGGAAGTAGAGGGTAAGAGAGGCCAGTCCATACAGGCAATACATCCTTAGACCTAGGGCCCCAGCACTAGCGTCCTTGCTCATTGTGGGCCTACATTTGTACTCATGTTCTGGCGCCCACAAATATTAGGGGCAGGCCTGCATACAGGTCAGCCGCCTGAAGCCCGGAGCAGGGTGGAGAATGGTGGAAGGAAAGTGAGAGGCCAGCCCATCACACATCTTGTCTAGTAAAGCAAGCCCCAGGGGGCTGCTTTAGACAGGGTTGTCAGGGGAGGCTTTTTGGAAGAGGTGATTTCTGGGCTGTGACCGTCTGCACCCCCTGCCCCCCACCATCTCCCTTCCCAGATGGTGCTTCAAGAGGCAGCTTGTGGACTTGGTAATGGAGAGGGTGTGGCAGGAACTGCTGGACAGTGCCCAGATCAAGATCTATGTGGCTGACTGGTGAGTGAAGAATGGCAACGTGCCCCCAAGCAGCAGCAATGGTGGTGGAGGTGGCAGTTCTGCTGAAGGGGCTCATTTAATGCCCCATCAGCCCCTGGATGGCCATTGTTACTATGCCCCCTCATATGAGGCTGAGAGGGGAAGCAATGTGCACAGCTGCGGAGCCAGGGATGGGTGGAGCCCTGATGAGTGCAGAGCACCTCTGGGCACTGCCCTCCGCCGTCTCCCAGCAGGCCCCAGGCTTGGTGACCTGGGGGCCACTGACTGGCTTGGCTTGGTCTGAAACAAGGCGTCCATCCTCATCCACGTCATCCCCATCGCCCACACACAGCACTGACCCTAAGGGCTTGGGGATGCCCTTGAAGGCCTCAGAAGGGTTGGGAGCACTCCCCCGAGAATATAAGGCTCTGACAGGCAGAGTTGGGACGGGTACACTGGCTGGCTTCAGAGCCTGCAGGGCTACGATGAATCTTCCTCCCCAGAGCACCCATGTTCCTTCACAAAGCCTTAGGCCCTTCCTTCAAGTTCTTGCTCCTCCACAAAAGAAATTCCTTCTTCCGTGGGGCTCTGGCCCCTTCCAATAGCTGTGTCTACCCCACAGTATCCAGATTCCTATCCACAGGTTCCTCCCCAGAAAGAGCCAGGCTCCTCTTCCTCCAAGCTCTGCTCTGCCCCAGAGAACCATCCTTCTCCCACTCTCCTCTGCCCCATGCATGCATCTGACCCCAAACCTCCAGAATCTGCCCCAGGAGCACCATGCCCCTCCCCTCAGGTTCCCAGGCCGTGACTCCTCCATACGTGGCCCTCATCAATGTGCAGGAGAGCCCAGCCCTCAGCCTCCCTCCCTATCAACCCACAGACTGACTGGGTGGCGAGGGCGTCAAGGTTCACCGCCACCTGGCAGGTGGGGCACCAGAGAGAAGTGCAGCTGCATCTATCGGCTGCGGGTCTGCCTCCTGGACGTGTATGAAAATGAAGTGGTCAAGTTCTTGGCCTCACCCAACCTGGCCCTGCGGTGGACTGAGAGAGGCCGCCGACAGGTGGGTCCAGACCACCCTGCAGACTGCCCCTGACCTGCTCAAAGGCACACCCAGCTTCTCACCCTGCCTAGACTCCTTCTCAGCTCTCAGCACCCCTGGAGATCTCTCATGATAACATCTGGTGACCACTAAGCCCTTATCACATCCCAGGCCCTGTTTTTACCTCTTCATTTCATTAACACAATAGCCTACTTGTCCAACATACATTGATTGAGCACCTACTGTGTGCTGGGCCTGCTCTAGTTGATGGTAGTGCAGCAGTGAACCAAAGTCCTTGCTCTATCCTCATTTTATAGAGTTGAGGAAACTGAGGCACAGTTAAGCACCCCAGAGTCACACTACAGTGTGCAGGTCCTGCTTCAAGTCAAGGCTGGCACCCAAGCCTATACTGTCATAACTCAGTTATCAGAGGAACCTCCTGATCTCTCCTCCTGCCCACCCCACCACCAAACACACAGATTCAGCATCCAGAAAGATCCCACTAACAAGTCAGTCAGATCACATCTCCCCTACTTGTAACCCCTCAGAGTAAATGCCAGAGTCCTGCAGTGCCGCTATAAAAAGGAATGGAGTCTGGGTCCATGCTACAACGTTCCCAGCATGCCTCCAGGGAACCCCACTTACTGCTGCTTCAGCACATTAGTCCCAGGCCGTGTGAGAAACCAGGGACCCACCCAACCTGCCCACAGCTTCCTCAGCTTCCCAGAGCAGGGGGGTGGGGGCCAGAGAACTCAGAGACATTTACTTTGCCTGTAGATTGTTTACATGTGGATGCCAACTGGTCCACGGAGTCAAAGAACAGGCCAAGCCAGGATTTCTAACAGAGTGAGAAGCTGCTGGCAGTCTGGGACAGTGACTCTGTTGGAGTATTTCTGGAGTTAACCAATTGCTGCAGGGAATGGAGGTCATTTGGGTCACCTGTCCTTGAGGTGACAACAGGGGCATCAAAGGGAACCCTGTTTGGGGGGTCCCTGGGATGCAACTGTGGGGGCCTAGGCAACGTCTCCAGCACTGCCCACAGTGCCTCTCCTCTGGGCTACACTGGTGCTGCTTCTGTCAGGACCCCTGACTCCCAAACCATGTCCCTCGCCCCCACCTCCTGCCCTTGCCTCAGGGGCATCTTACCTGCTGCTGGGCAATACTCCTTTTCTCCACCCTCTGGTCCACTGGCACATGCACTCCAAGCCTTCAGGAGCAAGGGGTGCCATGGAGGAATGCTCCCTGTTCTGACTCCCCTTGTGTCTCCTGTTATTTCCCAGCTGGGCACAGCTGGGCAATAAAACTGGCGCTAAATGTGAAGTGCTGAATGGGGGATTTTTGTCTGCAATCGATGCACTGTCTGCCCCCAGCTCTGATCCTAAAAGGCCTCCTAAAATCATGGGAACTTCAGAAGGTATGCTAAGCTCCGTGCAGGAAGATGGAAGTGGACTTGAGAGCCAAGACAGGCTACAAAGATGCCCTGAAGGGCTCCTGTGCCAGTTCTCAGTTCTCCCACCAGCTCGCAGGAAGGCACCATTAGCGATACCATTTAGCCCAGGAAGAAACACCTCAGAGTTTAAATGACCTGCCCAAGGTGACCTGGCCAGGAAGTAGGGAAGGCAGGACTCGCACCACAGTTGGGCTCCAGAGTCCAGTGGCATAAGCACAGCATCCAAATCTTAAAATCAAACATGGCCAAGCATGCGATCAAGTGAGGTGTTACTCTCGGTGCCATTTTCCAAGGGAACAAACTGAGGCCCAGATGGGGACACAAATATACCCAAAGTCCACCATCCAAAAGACAACAAATGTTGGCAAGGATGTGGAAAAAAGGGAACCTTCCTACACTGCTGGTGGGAATGTAAATTAGTTCAATCTTTGTGGAAAGCAGTATGGAGGTTCCTCAAAATTCTCAAAATAGAAATACCATTTGACCCAGGAATTCCACTCCTAGGAATTTACCCCAAGAATGCAGCAGCCCAGTTTGAAAAAGACATATGCACCCCTATGTTTATCGCAGCACTATTTACAATAGCCAAGAAATGGAAGCAACCTAAGTGTCCATCAGTAGATGAATGGATAAAGAAGATGTGGTACACATACACAATGGAGTATTATTCATCCATAAGAAGTGAACAAATCCTACAATTTGCAACAACATGGATGGAGCTAGAGGGTATTATGCTCAGTGAAATAAGCCAGGTGGAGAAAGACAAGTATCAAATGATTTCACTCATCTGTGGAGTACAAGAAGAAAAAAATGAAGGAGCAAAACAGCAGCAGAATCACAGAACCCAAGAATGGACTAACAGTTACCAAAGGGAAAGGGACTGGGGAGGGTGGGTGGGAAGGGAGGGATGGTGGGGGGGAAAGAAAAAAGGAAAAAAAATAAAAAAAAAAAATAAAGAGAAAGGGGCACAGGGAGGGCTGTGCAACACAAAGACAAGTAGTGATTCTATAGCATCTCACTACGCTGATGGACAGTGACTGTAATGGGGTATGTGGGGGGAACTTGGTGATGGGGGGAGTCTAGTAAACATAATGTTCCTCATGTAATTATAGATTAATGATACCAAAATAAAAATAATAAAAAATAAAAAACCATGGCATTCTCTAAAGGCAAATATATATATATATATATGGATATATACCCAAAGTCACAAAGCAACAAAGAGGTGGAGGCAGGACTTGAAGCCAGGTGTGTGTGTACAAGTCTCAGCATTAACAGAACACAGCAGCCCCCATGTAGGCAGCAGCAGGCCCCATTCAATCCTTTCCATGTCCTTCAACACTGACACTAACATCACTGCTGTTTTTCCCAGGAAGCTCGAGGACAGGGCTTTCCCTGCCTAGGCCCTTGGCCTGCAGCAAAGAACTGGGCCTCGGTGCTACCCAGATGATTCCAATGCTGAAGAGAGAACAGCCATCCATTCACGCACACAATGTGCATAGTGTCTGATTTACTCCTCACCAAACCCAACATGTGGATACAGAGGGGAGCTATTTTCTGGAGCAGGGAACTGAGGCCCTAAGGGGATGCCAATGGCCAAGAGCACAAGAAGGCAAATACCGCACAAAATAAGTTCACGACACACATCACAAGAGGGAGAAGGGAGTGTCTGTTTATTGCAACCCCTTCCCAACAGAGTGCCTTGTCCCAGCAGATGAGGTCCCTCAAGCCAGCCCCCTATACATGGGAGCCAAGGGAGCTGACAAAGGGGTGTCTTTTTCTAACTCACACCCAGGATCCCTATGAGCTGTTGGGTGATTCTGACGGAAGGCGGCTGGATTTGAACCCAGGGTCTGGTGCTTCCATAGCTGGAAGAGCTTCCCAAGGAGATCACAGGGCTTCAGAGAGGAAGGTTCCTGTTCTGTGTGAACCCCAGCCCAGGGCGCCCCTGTGCTCATTTCTTCTTCTGGACATGACCACAGTCGTACTTTCCGCGCACAATAGTGAGCTTGACCCCAGGCAGGTCCTGGGTGCGGCCACCCTGCACGAGCACCACGTGGTGCTCCTGCAGGCTGTGGCCCTCTCCGGGAATAAAGCAGACAGCCTCGCGGCCTGTGCTGAGCCGCACACGGCAGCACTTGCGGTTGGCTGAGTTGGGCTTCTTGGGCTTGCGGGTGAATGTCTGCAGAACGACACCCTTTAGCTGTGGCCGTCCGTCGGTGGGGCCCGGTTTTGAAGGTGGCCACTTTGGAGGCCCCTTTCGGTGCATCTGGTTCAGGGTGGCCATGGGGCGGGTGGCGCAGAGCCGGGGGGCCAGAGTTAGGCCTGGAGAGACACGACCCAGAGGGGAGAGGGGGGTTATTTTTCCAATGAATGGATAATAGTATGTGAAAGGTTCTACTTTAAGCATATACCTAACTCATTTTATTCTGCAAGTAAGGTATTAATTTTAATGTTGTTTAGACATAATAAAAGCAAAGAAACTGACCCTGTGCTGTGTCCAGTTTTATGCACATACTTACGTTAACTCATGCCATCCCCACAGCAGCGCTAGCGGGGTTCCTGGGAGCTGTCACTCCTCCCCTTCCTGTCCCACCCACTTCCAACCTGCCAGCAGATCCTGTCAGCTGAACTTCCAAACAGACCCTTTTCTCCCTCCTTCACTTGCTTCCACTCTGATCCTGTCCACCCTCACCTCCTGTGTCCTACTCCTCCCAGGTCTCCCTATTCCTACTGTCTGCTCCCCACATGCAGCCAGGGAGACCCTTGGGGACACCTGGGTCAGACAAGGTCCCTCCCTGCTCAGAGCCCTCTTATAAGAGTGCCACTTCACTCAGGGTAAGAGCCAAAGTCCTCTCTGTGGCCCAAGAGGCCCCACACCATCTGCCCCCATTACTTCCCTGACCTCATCCCCCATCTACCTCCTTGCTCCCCCTGGGCCAGCCTATGTCCCCAAACATGCCAACAGAAAGGAGACCCGTGTAGCTGCAGTAAGAGGAAAGAGGTGAGGGAGGGAATATATTTCCAAGGCAGATGGGATTTGCTCACAGGGATGTAGGATGGATGTAGGATGTGAGAAGATTCAAAGACAACTGGATTCTCTTCAACATTCACTGAGCACGTACTGTGTCTTGGCCCCAAAAAGGCAGACACACTGGTTAACTGAGGCAGCCCTTGGCCATGCCCCCTTCGAGCTCCCAGTCCAGGGCTTTGAGGTGCATCGTTTCTCTCTGTTACTAGCACAAATGCCCTTTCATACCCCCTCACTATCTTGGCCCTGCTGTCCATTTCCACATGTTACAGCAGAATCCTCGAAGGGAATGAGACTAGGAATTCCTAGAAGTCTCTCCTAGCGGTGTGCCGTTGAGTAAGACTCTCCACCTCCCGCTGCCTCAGTGTCCTCATCTGTATGGTGGACACCATAATCACATCTCTTTCCTGAGCACTGTGCCTGAGAGGCCACCGTGACATATGCATGTCAAGGTCTCCCAGATTTTGCCCAGCCTTGTGACTCTTGGTGAATGGCAAGCAGAAGGGGCTTAATAAAGGTTTGCAGGATGAATAAGTGAATTAAATGCCTCATAAAAGGAATGGCCTATGAGAGGCACTTGAGAGTAATGGAATGCGCGAGTTCGTAATAATCTCATAAAGTCCCTCTCAGTGTCTGGCACATACCAGGCTCTTTAACAAAAAACAGCTGAATGAATGACTTAAACGCCTTGAATGTCTCACCCACGGGAAGTATTTACTAAGTATTTGATGGAGAAATAAGTAATTGACTGAGACTCTTGGTACCCACCTGACAGAGAAGCCCTCAATGCAACTACATCCCACCTCTTGCCCCGGCACCTAAACTGTGCCAAAACCCGCGGTGTATCCACCCGCGATTAAAAACCCCGATTCCCGCGGGGCTGCCGTCTCAGGGTGGATAACCCTCATTCAGCCTCGTCTCTACGGTTCAAGCCCTCACTTACCATAACTTAAGGACGTGTTGAAGCCACGGAGAAGGCCGGACCAGGACATCCTGCCGTCTCCACAGACGCAATTAGGGGACAAGAGACTCAGAAAGGAGGTGGGGAAAGTGGCCGTAATCGGGCTAGGATCTAAATTTTTCCCTTCCCGTCCTCAGAGATTTCTGGTTAAATCTAAAGAATTTCCCCCGACGTTCTAGCTACAGCTCCGCACGCTGCTAACAGAAAGCCCCTCCATAAATGCAGCTTCGCTCCGAGTAGGTTCTCAAGGACCCAACGTCCCCTGTCCGCAGACAGGCGGTAAAGAGAAACCAAGGAGAGCCTCGGTGGGAGGCTGAAGCACTAGGGCCCAGTGACCTCACCGACCTCAGATACGCCCCTTCCACAGGTTTCCCGGCAACGATTGGCTGGTTCTGCCTCTCGCGCGCTCTTCTTTGGCGGGGCACAGACGACGATTGATCAGTGACAGAGTCAATCTCTACCAACCTTTCTCATTGGACTACTTTTGAGGGACAGGGAGGGGTTTATCCCTTCCAGTGTCTGATTGGCCTGTCCCGAGCAGGGGGCTGCTTTGCAACTGGTCTATACGCGGAGTGGGTGGGACGAAGGGTGGGAGATTCGTTGTCCCTCGTCCAAGATGGCTGCATCCATAGCGCGGCGTTTATGGCCTTGGGTGGCTGGTCGGGGGCTCCGGCTCGGAGGTGCCTGCGCTCACAGCCAGAGCCAAAGGAGAAGTTTCGCTACGGAAAGACAGGACCGCAACCTCCTGTACGAACACGCGCGCGAGGGCTACAGCGCGCTCCCTCAGCTGGACATGGAACCACTGTGCGCATGCCCGGAAGAGGCCGCGCGCGCCCTGGAGCTCCGCAAGGGGGCGCTGCAGCCGGACGACCTGCCCGCGATCGTGAGTGCGCCTGCGCTGGCCCGCGGGCTTGAGGCCTAACTGGGTTTGCAAGATTCTTTCCAGCAGGGGGCGAACTTATTGCAGGAATTTTAGTTCCTGCTCAATTTAGCTAACAGGTGGTGTGCTCGGCATCCACTGATGTGCTGGTTACCCACGTAGTGCTAAGGCCTTACTATCCAGACACCAGTTGTGCGCCTGTTCCATAAAGCGTGCCGAGTACCTCCTTTGCGTAAGGAACTTACTATGTGCAAGCGTCCTCTGTGCTCTGACCTTATACCGGGCCAACCCTAAGGCCACAAAGGAGACTGGAATGCAAATAAGACCGGGGGTCGGGGTGGGGTTTTGAGGATGGGAGGTAGAGCCCTGTACCTGCCCAACAGATTGCAGGCAGTTAGAAATAGGGTTAATTAATAAATAATATCTGTTCTACTGAACAAATATTTAGGGAGAACCTACTGTGTTCCAGGTATTGAAAATAAGATGGTAAGGAATAATTATAAGAATAATAAGAATAGAAGAGCTGGCATTCATATATAATATTAATGCTGGGGACCTAGAACTAGGGTCACCATATTTCTAGGCTTTACTGGGGTTCTGAGGATGGTCCTGTTCTAAGTGCTTAGTACATATTTGCAGCTCCATCATTTAAGTTTCACAACAACCCTATGAGGTAGATGCCATCATTTTTCCCCATTTTATTCAAGAGGGGAAACTGAGGTCCAGAGAAGTTAATTTTTTTAGAAAAATGACATTTCCTCAAAAAATTAAAACAATTTACCACATGATCCAGCAATTCCCCTTCTGTTTATATACCCAAAAGAATTGAAAGCAGGGACTTGTACACCCGTGTTAATAGCAACATTATTCACAACATCCAAAAGGTGGAAGCACCCCACATATCCACTTATGGATGACTGGATAAACAAAATGTGGTATATATGTACAATGGAATATTATTTAGCATTAAAAAGGGATGAAATTCGGACACATGCTACAATACTGATGAACCCTGAAAACATTGCACTAAGTAAAAATAAGTGTGATTCCAGTCACACAAGATCCCTAGAGCAGTCACATTCATAGAGACAGAAAGTAGAGTGGGGGGTGCCAGGGGCTGTGGGTGGGGGGGTGGGGAGTTAGTGTTTAATGGGCACAGAATTTCAATTTGGGAAGGTAAAGTTCTGAAGATCAGTAATTGTGATGGCAGCACAACAGTGTGAATGTACTTAATGCCACAGAACTGTACACTTAAATAGTAGCTTAAAATAGTAAATTTTGTCTTTTACCATGATTTCTTAAGAAAGTTAGGTTTAGAATCCTGAATTATTTTAATAACCCACTAATGGATCCTGTCCCGAAGCCTCAAAAACACTTCTTCAGGGCATAAAGCGTGAAGAGGAAAGTGGCACATGGCTCTGCAGGCAATAAGCAAGGCCTGTGATTTGTTCCGGGGGGCCCTGGGAGTCCATAGGTGCTTTCATGCAGGAGAGGGATTGGGTAGGATCTCTAGCTGGATTGGAGGCAGTGAGCCCGAAGGCCCGGAGGTTGGCACAGGGACCCTCATGGGGGATGACAGGATCTGGGGTGGGGTGAGGGCAGATTTGATGGGTGTTCATGAGGCAGAAAGGTCAGGACGCGGTGTCCGCCAGCAGGGCTGGGGTGGCATCCAGTAGGAGGCTCAGGGCTCTGGGGTTGGGGGTGGGGCTGTCTCTGAGGAGGAGGAGCAGATCTGGCGGGAGATGCTTTTGCTGGAGTCACCTTTGCACATGGTGAGTGTGCAGTGTTGCAGAGGGAGCCACCCAGTGGGTCACAAAGCCCCCTGTGGCCCACTGAGCCCCTTCTGGTTTCCAGCCCCAGACAAGGTGGACAGTGTGATTTGCGCCATTTTTTTTTTAAGGGAGAACTGCAGCCAGAGAGGACAGAGGGGTTTTGCCCAGGGGTCTGGTCTTACAGAGTAATCCTCGGCAGTAGGTGTGTCCATGAAACGAGACCTGGGCGTGCCGGGCCTCTGTCATCCCTCCTGACCCCCTCATAGGAGAGCGCAGGTTCTCTGCATGACAGCCGCATAGGATAGAGATTTCCCTCAAAAGGCAAGTGCTGGCTGGGTCTCAGCAACGTGTTCCTCAGCACCCAGGTCCTTCATCTTCTTGTTCTGTGTTCCTTAGGCTTTTGTCCTGTTAGCTCTCCTCAGAGTCCATCTTTCAAGGTGAGTGAGAAAGTCCAGGACAGGGTCTCATCTTTCAGGAGGTGACCTGGGATTCACACAACTTCCTCTCGTGTTCATTGGTTGACCTTAGGAATATACGCACAAGTAGCTGCAAGGGAGGCCAATAAGGGTGACTTAATTCTGGGCAGCATGTGCCCCTAAATATCAGGGGTTCCCAGTACCGAAGGGAAGGCGAGCCGTAGGGGTCTGCCCCACCCCACTGCAAGTCCAGGTGGCCATTGGGGTGAGGCTCCATTAAGAAAGGGGCAGGGGACAGTGGCCACTCAAGTCTTTCCTTCTGTGTCCACCCCTAGATTGCAACATGGCAGGAGCTGAGGCAGCTGCGGGAGCAGATCCGGAGCCTGGAGGAGGAGAAGGGGGCCGTGGCTGAGGCAGTGCGGGACTTGCTGGTGAGTGGGAGGGTCCCAGGTGGGCAGGGCTTCCCTGTGTAGATTCAGCCTCAGTTTCCCCCTCACAGTTTCAAGGTGGCTGCTAGAGTGCAGTGTCTCCTCTCTGACTCGGCCAGAGGCAGACAACAGGACATATTTGGCTTGAGTGCCTTTCTCAGGAGCAGGGAGACCTTTCCTGAAGCAGCCAGCAGAGTCCTCTCTCGTGTCCCCACACAAGACACCCCACACCACACCTGTCATCAGCAGGAGAGAAGGAGTTACTGAAACGAGCTTAGGGCTGCTCAGAGTGTGACCTCGGGCTGGGCCCACACTTCCTGACCTCAGGCTGGCTGGGGTGGGTGAACCCAGTGGGGTAACTGGGAGCAGAGGAAGGGGGGCAGGTGGCCTTGGCTTAGACAGCCAGCAGCATCTGCCACAGAGGGCTGAAAAGCCATCATAAAAGTAATAGGTGACATTTTTTAGTGATCGCTGTGTGCCAGGCTCTGTTCCAGGCACTTTCCTTACCCTCAATCCTCAACACCAGTTCTGTAAGGAAGGAGTGATACAGACCCAATTTACAAGGTGAGGAAACTGAGGTCCTACAAAGGTTAGAATGCACTGGAGTCTCACATCTAGGAAGTGGGAGAGGTGGGATTCACCTGTCCGCTCAGAGGCCTTTTCCAACACTAGTTTCATCTCCCACTGACCCTGTGGGCATGTGCCAGGCCTCAGACTCCTGCATCACAGGCAGGCAGCCAGCAAAAACACAAAATCAATCACAGTTAACGTCCACTGAGTGCGAACTCATCTTCTCAGGGAAGCTGTGCAGCAACCCTGCTGGGGAGTCCTGTTATCATCCCCTGTCACAGGTGGGAGTACCAAGGGGAAGAGGGGGGAAGAGATGTGCCCAAGGGCACACAGCTGGTGGGCACCCAATGTTCAGACCCAGGTCTGCCTCCTTCCCTCTGCTGCTCAGGATCATAGAAGGTTCAGTTATCAAAGGCCATTGGTTTGCAAGCCTCCAAATCCACGCTCAGAGACTTTATCTCCCTGAGCCTCAGTTTTCTCATTTACAGAATGGGGATCACATTGATGCCATCACTGGAGTGGGTTATGAAGAAGCAGGATCATGTGAGAGCCCTCCACACAGCCAGGCACAAGGCTGCACTCAAACAGAGCTATCAGTGTGATTGCTGTTAGGTTATCTGGCCTCCTTCCAGCTTTGCTGATAGAGAAACTGAGGCACACTGTAGAGGACGGTCCCGCCAGGCACTGGAAGAGCAAGGAGTTCAGATCCCCTGGTTCTGTTTGACCTTTCACCGCTCTTCACCCCCACCTCCTCCCCACCCCCAGCTTCATCACCCTAAACACCCCTCTGTCTCTTTCCTACCAGGTAAACCAGGACGGCAGTCACGTACAGCAGGTACTGCGGGGAGTTGATGTCTTGTCCCTGTGGAGGGTGGGCAGGCGCCCTGTCAGGCATGAGTCCTCAGCTGTACATGACAGGAAACAAGAAACAGAATTGGGAAAGAGGGTGGTGAAACTTACAATTGTGGCTTCAGGTGTAGCTGGGTCCAGGTCACGGCTCCATATTTCGTTCTGCTTCCCTCTCATCCCCAGACCAGCTTCCTCCCACTGAGGGAAGGGAGGCAGTGTTGAGCACAAAGAGGACCGCTTCCCTGATGGCTCCAGCCACAGTCCTGGGGCTGATTCTCAGGAGTTTGGCTTGGGTCACATGCCTATCTTTGAGCCAGTCACTGTGGCTGAGGGGATGGAATGTTCCAGCCCAGTAGGCCGGGCCTGAGTCATGTTCCACAGACATGCCATGTGGTGGTGAGGGGAGGTTCCTGAAAGAAAATCCAAGATGTTGGTCCAAAGAGGCAACGAACGTCCACCACGGAGGTTCTGCCAGCGAGGGTCAAGGTCACACTGATTGAGGGACCCTCCCCACTCCCTGGCCATTCCCAGGATCCCCAATATCAGCGTCTGCGCACACGTGGCCGGGAGATCCGGAAGCAGCTCACGCAGCTGTACCCCAAGAAGACCCAGCTCGAGGAGCAGTTCTACCTGCGGGCCCTGCGGCTGCCCAACTGCACGCACCCAGAGGTGGTGAGTGCTGCGCTGGGCAGGGGCTGGGGGCGAGGGGCCACCTAGTCCACCTCCCTCGTGACGCCCACCATCTCCCTGCAGCCAGTCGGGGACGAGAGCCAGGCCCGAGTGCTCCGCGTGATCGGCCACAAGCCAGGTAGGCCGCCCTCCCCGCACAGGGGCCCGTCCTCCCGCCTCAGCCGGGCTCTGGCTCTGCCCCGCCCGGCCGGGCTTTCTCCCCGTGTCCAGTGTGTGCTCGTGCACGCGCACACGGGCGTCTCTCTGTCTTGCTCTGGCCGCTGCTGCCCTTGGGACCTCCCTCCCTGATTGCGTGTCTCCTCCCTGGCCTCCCCTCCCTGGCCTCGGCTCCCTGTCTCTGCCTCTGCCTTCCCATCTTTCTCCATCCCTCCTGCTCCTCCCTCCTGGCTCTGCCTTCGCCTTCCTCTCTCCTTCTCCCGTTTCTCTCCCTCCTCGTCTTCCTCTCCCTCCTTGTCTTACTGTTTCCCCACCCGCCCCCTTACCAGCCTGCTTTCCCTCAGTCCCTGTTCGCTGCCTCTGTACCTCTCACCCCATTGCTTTTTGTCCACATCCAGCTTTCTCCTTCCAACCCCGGGGCCACCTGGAAATCGCCGAGAAACTCGACATCATCCGTCAGAAGTGAGCCCCTCTCCCCTCCCACCCCCAGCGGCTGGCTCAGCCCAGGATGCAGCACCGCCAGGGCCACGCCCGGCATGAATGTTTGATGCCAGCCCCCTGCCTGGCAGCTGGGCCTTGAGTCCCCGTCTACCCCCGCCACCTGGCCCACATGTCTGCCTGTCTGTCTCCCAGGCGCCTGTCCCATGTGTCTGGCCACCGCTCCTATTACCTGCGCGGGGCCGGGGCCCTCCTGCAACACGGCCTGGTCAACTTCACACTCAACAAGCTTGTCCACAGGGTATGAGGCGCGACGGGAGGGTGGGAGCTGACTCTGAAGGCTCAAGTGGGCAGGGGGAGGGGCTGCCCCTGCTCCAGGCACTGTCTTCAGAGCTTTACATGTATTACTGACACTTAATTCTTCAATTTAACTTTACTCTTTTAATTTAATTGATGCAACTTAATGAGGTAGGAGATACTGCTATCCCTACTTCAGAGGTGGAGAAATTCAGGCCTAGAGAGGGGTCGGCTAGCCCACAGTCTCACGGCCGGAGCACCTCACCTCCTGCCTGTAGTGTGGAGGGAGTGTGGGGAAATGCCTCACCTGTTAAAACTGGAGGGGTTGGCAGGGGCTGAATGCCTGGGACTTTGGTCATGGCAAGGGCTGCAGACATTTTCTGAGAGCACTAGGGAACCTGGAAGGCTTTAAGCAGGGGGAAGGTCACGGTCAGATCTATGCTTTTGAACTACACCTCCGGCTGCCCCACGTGGAATGACCTGAGTGAGGAGACCATCAAGTGCCAGCAGAAAGGGCCTAGTGACAGGGACACCAGGGCCTTAGGGCCAGCTCCTAGCCCACTGTGCAGGCCCTCCTCCACTTCCTCTGACGTAGAATGGACTCTGGGATGACAAGGAAAAGCCGCTGGCCCATTCCACAGTGTCCTTTTCCAGGCCTGAGATTGGGGCCTGGAGGGGGTCTTGGCCATCCATGCTCCTCACCCCATTCCCCTTCCCTCCCCCTATAGGGCTTCACCCCCATGACGGTGCCAGACCTTCTCCGAGGAGCTGTGTTTGTGAGTGAGGATCCCCTGCTTCCCACACTCCTCTGCGTGTCAGGCCCTGTTCTGGGGGCCCCAGGCCGGGAGGCCAGCCTGTCTCCCCTGAAGAGACTGCTCTGGGCTGGGTTGAGGGAGTCAGACCATTGCAGGGAGGCCAGCACGATTCCAGATGCTTCCAGGGGAGAAGTAGGAGTTGTGACTGTAAAATGGAAGAGGCCAAGGTCACCTGTCCCCTGACCTCTCCCTAGGAAGGCTGTGGGATGACACCCAACACCAACCCATCCCAAATTTACAACATCGACCCCTCCCGTTTTGAAGACCTCAACCTGGCAGGGACAGCAGAGGTGGGGCTTGCCGGTGAGCACCAGCCTGGAGGCAGGAAGCGGGCGGGAACACCTCCCGGGTCCTCAGAGCAGGAGGGATGGTAGGGGAACCACTGGAAGCCTTGGAGGTGTCTCGGCCACCTCAGGGCCAGCATACAGTCGTGTAGGCTATTCACTGTACAACAGTACAGGAGGATCCAGCCACATGCCTGGCACGAGGTTGCATCCCCCAGGGGATACCTTTTCTGATACTAGCCCAGGGCCTGTCACCCCAGACATCACCTGGCACAGGGCACAAGTCAGAAGGCCTGGGGCTTCCTGTGAGTGGATGGTGGCCCTGACTGACCCATCCTGTCCCCCTTCCTCCCAGGCTACTTCATGGACCACTCCGTGGCCTTCAGGGACCTGCCTATCAGGTGACACCCAGCTCCTTGAGACCTTAGCCCCACCTTGACATTCCCTCTGCCCTCCCTGACCCCACCTCCCTGCTCCCCACAGGATGGTCTGTTCTAGTACCTGCTACCGAACGGAGACACACAAGGGGAAGGAGCCGCGGGGGCTGTATCGAGTCCACCACTTCACCAAGGTTGGTGCAGCCAGGCCTGGGAAGGGAGGCTCACCCCAGCAGCCCTGGGCCTCCTGACCTGCGCCCTGTGCCCTGCCCCAGGTGGAGATGTTCGGGGTGACGGGCCCTGGGCTGGAGCAGAGCTCGTGGCTACTGGAGGACTTCTTATCCCTTCAGGTGGAGATCTTGACGGAGCTGGGCTTGCACTTCAGGTGTGGAGGGTGGGACACCGGAAGTGGAGGGCCTGCTCGGTGCTCTGTGTCTTTAAAGTTCTCCACTCCCTCCCCATCTGCCCCCTCTTCCTGCGTTAGGATTATATGTCGTTAGGATTATATGTCGGGTGTCTGCGTGTCAGTCTAAGGTCCTGTATGGGATCACAGGATGGTTACAGCAGAGGCAGCACAGTGTCCCCCAGTGAGACCCAAGCCCCTTCCCTTGGTTGCTCCCATCCCAGGGGAGCAGCGTCATCTGCATGTCAGCCAAGATGGCTTTTCACCCACCAGGGAGACAGAGTGGGGAGGGAGGACACACTGTCCCCTTTAAGGCCATGACCCCACTTCCTCTCCCCAGTCATGACACCTAGCTTTCAGGAGAGGCTGAGAAATGCTTTTTCCTGGGTGACTCATCACACAAACCTGGGGGGCTGTTAGAGCAGGTGAGTGGCCGTGGTGAACAGCCTGGAGGCCTAGCCACTGGCCCCTTCTCCATGTTTCACCTCCGTCACCACCTCCTGCCTCATCTCTTCCCCTTTGCCACTGTCACCTCCTCCCTTTTTAACTTCCATTTTCCTGTTTTTTGGCTGCCTTCTCTTCCATGGCCTGTTTTTTCTCCCTCCTCCTCCTCCTTCCCCTCCACCTGCTCACCTTTGCTGTTCCTTTCTCCTCGGCTGCAGAGTCCTGGACATGCCCACCCAGGAACTGGGCCTTCCCGCCTACCGCAAGTTTGACATTGAGGCCTGGATGCCAGGCCGCGGCTGCTTTGGTGAAGTGAGCCCCTAGCCTGGTAGGGGATGCAGGGAGGGAAGAGGAGATCCCCCCCCATCAGCTGATCCCCTTGTCACCCTTCCCCACATCCAGGTCACCAGTGCTTCCAACTGCACGGACTTCCAGAGCCGCCGGCTGCACATCATGTTCCACACAGAGGCCGGAGACTTGCAGTTTGCACACACAGTGGGTTCCACACCCTCGCCCACCTTCCCTGGTGTCCCCACCCCCCAGGCCCATACCACCTCAGCCCCGCCACTGGGCTGAGGCAGCGCCCAGGTCTGAGCATGCCTCTCTTCCAGGTGAATGCCACAGCCTGCGCTGTCCCTCGCCTCCTCATTGCCCTCCTAGAGAGCTATCAGCAAAAGGTGAGGATGTGGATTGTCCCAAAAAGGCAGAGGGTGGAAAACCGGGGCAGTGGCCACATCCTGACGCCTGCTCTGTCCCCAGGACGGCTCAGTCCTCGTGCCCCCTGCCCTCCAGCCCTACCTCGGCACCGATCGGATCACTGCCCCCACCCACGTTCCTCTCCAGTACATCGGCCCCAACCAGCCCCAGAAGCCCAGGCCTCCAGGCCAGCCAGCCCTGAGCTGAGACTGAGCAGCAGCGGCCAGCAAGGATTTCACCGCCTCCTGGGGCTCGGAGCCCTGTACACATGGGGCTTGTTTTCTTGAGCACATCTTGGCCATATGCATTCCTCTGTCAGCTCCATGCCTGCGCCCCTGGGCCCCAGAGTCCACCTTTCTTACTTCTTCAGAATCAGTGAGTGACGCTGTTGTCACTGAGGTCCCAACCTGCACTGGAAAGTAGGACATCTGGGGACTTGGAGAGCATAGAGATGGGGGGAAGGAGGGGAAGAGGCCACCATCCCTCTCTCCCTCAGCACTTCACAGAAAGTCCCCAATAAATGGTAAGAACAAAGGCCTTTGTAGATCTGTGAGCAAGGGACATGGGCCTGGCCAACTTGCAGGGGATGCTGGAAATTGGTCAGGGAAGCTAAATATCATCAGAAAGTCTGTGGCAGCAGGGACCACGGCTGGAAGGAGCCAGCACCCCTACAGCACATGGCGAGGAGTTTGGGGGCTGCTGGGGCCTCTCCCTTTGCTCTGAGAAAAGTGGCAGCTGGTGCTAACCTCAGCATTAGCTTCCCCCCTCGGTCCCCAGCTCCAGGTAGGGGTCCAGGTGGCCGCACAAACTCAGTGAAGCTAGAATTCGCGCCTCCCACGTAGGAGTGCCCAGCTCAACACCTGGGGCTGCTTTGCCAGCTCATCAGGCCACAGCCCCTGCGGCATCCTCGCCTCTTCTACCACATCCACATCCAGTTCTTCAGACTCTAGTAGCTCCTACAAAGTATTTCCAGAACCTGCCCTTGGCTGTCTTGCCCTGGGCCCCTCGCTGCTCCCATCCATCGTCATCTTCCCTTTGGAGAGTCCCAACAGCCTCTTCACTGCCTCGTTGCCTCCACTCAAAGGCAGAGGGATCCTGTGGACATCTGTGCCGGGTCACAGCCCTCCCCTGCTCGGAGACCTCCTGCAGCCCCACCTCACTCTGGAGAGTCACCACTGTGGCCCACGAGGCCCCACACGATCTGCCTCCCTGCCCCTTTCAACTCACCTCTCGCCTGTCCTGCTCCAGCCGCCCAGACCCCCTGTGCTGTCCCAGCTTCACACATTCATTCCTGACTCAGGCCTGTGCACCTGCTCCTCCCCTACATCTCATGATGGCCTCCATTTGATTGCTCAGGTCTTAGCCCAAACATCACGTCCTCAGAGAGGACCTCCCTGAACACCCTGCTTTCCCAGTAAAGTAAAAACCCCAGCACAAAGTATCATGTGGCACACCACAAGCCTGCCTCCTCCCTTGTGTAACGTGTATTTGTGTATTATCTGCCTCCCCCCTTCTCAAATGTCCACTCCAAGAGGGCAGGGAGTTCTTCCGCAGCTGTACCCCCAGGATCTGGAAGAGAGCAGGTACTCGGTGAAATTCCTGGCGCCAAGGGGCTCAGAACTGCGCAGCTCCCGGTGCAGGCTCTGCCTCAGTTTCTAGTCACCTACTCCTCACTGGCGAGCCTCACCTGTGGAGTGGGCCAGGGTGGGCAGGCTGTTCCACAGATGAGAAAACCGTTCTTAGACTAAGCAGTTGTTCCAGGGCTGCATGGCTGGGACTCAGATTCAGGCAGAGCCCAACCACTCCCTTTGAGGAGGTAGGTTTATGAGACCCATTTTCCAGATGGGAAAACTGAAGCCAAGGAAGGGAAGAAATTGCCTGAGGTTGGTCTGTAAGTGGCTGCCTCTGGTTTCAAACCCAGGTCTGCCTCCCAGTGCAGCCTCAAGCTCACTGGACCTTGTTTCTCTGCGGAAACCCTCCATCCTTGCTGGTGCTCAGGCCCGGGAGCTGGAGGGAGCGGGTGCAGGGTGTGGGTCCCCATGAATAATTGAATTGAGGGTCTCAGGCAGTTGTCCACCCTGCAGCTGTCGCCTGGCTAAGAGCAGGGAGGGGACGGTGGTTACATCACTTTCCTGTGGGGCCAGGGAGCAGGTTATAAGGAGCTGCTGCCCAAGCCACACAACACTGAGCACCCTGGCACAGACGCCCCACCATGCAACACTGGGCCCACCTCGCTTCTGCTGCCCCTGCTCCTGGCTCTGCTGTTGGGGGCAGGTGAGTGCCAGAAATGGGGGGGAGGAGTGGCTAGGCAGCCAGCCTGAGAACAAGGACTTTGGTGACCCAGGCGGGGGGCAGTTCACCAGTGGGGTGGATCTGGAGACCTCATGGGCTGACCTTCCAGGTGGGGACAGGGCACCTGGCAGGTGGGCTGGGAAGGGGATGTGTGGGACTTGGGGACCCCCTTGCAGCTGGGATCAGCACCAGACAGTGACTGGGTCCCAAGCCCAGCACCATCTCCTTCCTCCATGGACCCTGCTGCTCCCTTGGTGCCCAGATCCTCCAAGGAGGAGGTGAGGAGGGGACCCCTTGCCTTGCCTCATCTCCCGGGGCCCCCGGCCCTCCTTGCCCAACCTCCTCCATGGTCATCTCCCCACCAAGCCTCCAGTTGTAGTTATTCCCAGTACCTGCCCTGTCCACAACCTCCCCTCTGGCCCTTCGCCCCCAGCTGACCCGCTGTCTGGCAGAGGTGGTCACAGAGGCGCTGACGCTGGGGCAGGCCCAGAGAGGCCCCTGCATGGCTCTCCTCCACAAAGGTAAGGAGGGCCAGGACCCCAGCTCCTCTCAGGAGCCTCCACCCCACCCAGGGCTGCATGGAGGAAGGGGGTATCTTGGTCTTATCCCAGAGCCCTCTTGCCTGGGCTGGCATGGCACTGCCTGCATGTCCAGCCTGGCCCAGCCCCACCCTGGGGCTCCCTGCAGAGGTACCAGATGGGGGCAGAGACTGTCCCTGAGACCTGGCCCTCCTCTCCCAGTTCCAGGCAGCCCTCCTGTGGGACCTCGGGCAGGCCCCAGAAGAGCCCTCAGGTCTCAGTTTCTGAGTTTGCTGACAAAGAGTGTCCTCTCTCTTTCCACCAGAGATGTGTGAGACAGAGCCCTACAGCTGTGCGTCCGCCAAGGAGAAAGGCCTACTGCTTGGGGATTTCCAGAAGCGAGAGCCCGGGAAAGCAAGGTCCAGCCAAGAGGTGAGGGAGGAGGAAGAGGCAGCAGAGAGAACCCACATGTCCAAGGTGTGGGAGCAGGCCACCCACGAGCAACCCCACAGCCCACGCCGCCAGGAGGAGGAGGCAAAGAAGAGGGCGCCTGTGGATATCTTTGAGGGCCTGTGGAAGCGGCATCTAGAGGGGGGAGGAGGGCCCCAGAAGCGAGCGGCAGAGCAGGCCAGTGACGAGATGGCCCAGTTTGAGGTGAAGGGCGTGCGGGTGCTCAGCAAGGGCCACAGCCTGTGGCAGGGGGCCGAGGCAGGTCGGGGAGAGAGGCACAAGGACTCCCCGCGCCACCAGCATCCCCAGCAGCTGGAAGCTGAGCCCAAGCGGAAGGAGAAGGAAGAGGCCTCGGAGAGGGAGGTGAGTGGGAGAGGAAGCAGGGGAGTGGGGCAGTCCAGATGTCAGTGGGATTCTACCAAACAACTACCAGTGTTGGGCAATAAACAGCAAGACCCACCACAGCTGGGTCAGGGTGACCAGGACTGACACCAGGATAGGTAGCAGCACCCAAGCAAGGCCTCCACTTGACCAAGACAGCTTCCACAGTGAGAGGATGGGGGCCCAGATGGCCGCCACTGCTGCACAGGCATGTCTGGGTCAGCCACTGCTGCAGTTCACACCGAGCAAAGTGGCTAAGTGACTGTTGTTGTGGTAAGTGGCTGTTGTGCCTGGTTCACTAGAATGTAGGTGGACTTCATTACTGAGTCATGAAAAGTAAGATGTAAGCAGGATTGGTGGCAATACCCAAATGGCCAGCCCCTCACAGATGGGTCGGGACCCCTGAGCTGGGCACTTGTGCTAGTCCTGTCTGCTGCTGTTGGCCGTGGCAGTCCACATAAGCCTCACCGGTGGTCACGCTGGCCAACGTAACTTCCAGGGTAACCACTGTGGTCCCCACAGTCCACGGTAACCAGGATGACAGTTGGCTGCACCATATGAAGCGACATGGCCCACGTGCAGGGGTGGCTACTGAGGTGCCCGCCCTTGGAGTGTGCTGACCACCCTACGTCCGGTCCCACCAGGAGCATGATCTGGAGCGGCTGGAGCACGTGAGAGAGGAGCTGAAGAAGGCCACGGAAATACTGGAGGAGGAGATTCGAAGGAAGGGCTGAGCTCTGACCTCCTGTCCTTCCTGACACACCCAGGGCTCAGAACTGCTGCCCCCAAAGCCCCCTAGCACCCCGCTCCACTCCCACGCTGCAGGGGTCGGGAGAAGGGAACCAGGCCTGAGGGGCCAAGCCCAAGCTGGGTACAGAGGCTGGGCTCGGCCTGACCCAGGAAACACCGATGCATGCATGCAGCCCACCCCAACCCTTCCAAGTGAATAAAGCAGAAAGAAAACCACCATGGCTCATTGTGTCCCACTGATTAACTGGAGGATGGAGAAAGTGACCATCAGTCTAGTCTCTGGCTGTCAGAACTGAGGTTTTATTAAGTTGGAAATTCTATTAATAATTAAGTCAGACAGGGTCGTCAGGGAGAGGCTTTGAGCTTGGGGTGGGAGGTAGCCGGTTTGGACTCTGGCCACTGTGGACCACGATGTCGTCGTATTCCTCCTGGGGGCAGAGGGGGCAGGGATGGGGCTCAGGTGGCTGCCGCCTTGCCCGCTGCCCGAGTTCCACTCACCCTAGGACCTGGGTCTTGCCTTTAGGCCCACATGGAGCTCCACTCCCTGCTCCTAGTTCTCCAACCACCACTTTCAAGGTCACCCATGTTCTCCCATGGCTACTACCAGGGCTCCAGAGCTGCTGCCCCTCCGGTTCTTCAGCAGCTGCGGCCACTGAGGCCTCTCCTCCACCCCTTCCCAGTGCCTCTACCCTAACGCCTCAACCCCCACCAGCCATGTCATCCCTGCCCGAGGGAGTCTGCTGCCTGTTTGCCAATGAAACCATCGCTGGCTAAGGTCTGTCCCCACTGCTGCCAAAGCTGAACCACCGCCCAAGACCATCCCCCAGTCTGAGCTTTCCTGCTCCTGCTCTGTGGAATCACTGCTGTCACCCGCCACTGCTTGTAGCCAATCACCATGACTGAGCTCTTTTCTCTACCACAGTCACTGCCTTAATTCCTCGACCACCGCAGCCTGGGTTCTCCCCGACACCCCTGCCCAGGTATCCCCCAACTTCTGCCTAGCACCACTTGCACAGCTGTCTGAGTGCTCAAATTGCAGCAGCCCAAGATTGGCCTCAATGCGCTACCCCATTTCTCTTCTCCCCCTTCCCACCTGCCCGTTTACCCTGACCCCCCAGCTGGGCCCCCCAGTCTCTCCTGACTCACGCCCTCGTCCCCGCTGTCACTGTCACTACTGCTGCTGCAGGGGCCAGGCCTGTCGTCGTCGTCTGCAGGCTCAGGAGCTCCATGTGCACGAAGAAGGCGGGTGAGGGCAGGGTTGGGCCGGAGCATGGCACTGCCCAGTGGGGTGCGGCCACCATACATGCGGGCAGCAGGGTCAGCACCTGCCCTCAGGAGAAGTTCCAGGACATCGGCTGATTGGGCCTCCACTGCCAAGTGCAGGGGGCTCCGGCCACACGTGGGCTCCTGCAGGGTACAGCAGAAAGGTCAAGGAAGCCCCGCGCCACTCTGGGGACAACCCTCCCTTGTCGCCCCTCTCGAGGGCAGCTCACCAGTTTATTGAGGTCAGCTCCCACCTCCTGGAGCAGTTGGACCATCTCTGCATCTTTGTGGATGATGGCCACATGGAGGGGGGTGTGGCCTGAGGACAGAGAGACTTGTATCAGACAATGGAGTGAGGGGTCTGGGCCCCCATTGCCAAGACCCTAGGCGATGGTTTTGTGGCTTGAGGGTGACCAAGTTTGGGGTCTGGCTCCTGAATTCCTAGACACGTCAAAGAGGCACCTGCATGCCAAATGCATAAGTCTCAGGCGGTCTGAACTTGCTGGCAGTGCCAACACCTGGGCTGTGGGATGTCTGGGGCCTATGGATGAGGAGCCCAGGGGCACTGGACAGGAGGCTGTATCTAGGGGCCAGGAGACTGAGTCTCCAGTCTTACTTCACAAAGGATCTGGACCCTTGAGTAGATGAGGGACCTGTGACCTGAACACTGGGTCCTAGGTGATCTCAGTCCCTCTGGAGAGGGCTTAGTCCAGGTAGTTGGACTAAGAGAGGGGAGCTGATTTTTCCCCAGGAGGCTTGGTTAAGGAGGACTGTTCCTGAACCCACTGTCAATCCCTGGGAACCTGGGTCTTGAGTTCCCTTGTGCTGTGTGGCCCAGGAGCTGAGGCTAATGGGAAGGGGAGGGGTCCCACGTGAGTTGTGCCTTCTAGCTGTAGGCCTGTGGGTGACTGACCTGGGTCCCCAGTGGTCTGGGGCCTCCATGTGGGGGTCCTGGGTCCTACATGACCAATTGTCAATAATCTAGAGCCTGGGCAGGAGTCCTTGGTCCTGATCCTGGGTCTTTGAAGCATTGGTGTTATTTCCCAAAGGGGTGGGTCTTGAGTCAGGAGAGCTGAGCCCAGAGCTAGGTACCCTCACCCTGCCTGGGAGCCCAGGCCCTTCCCTGTGACCGAGGACCCTCACCCTCATAGTTTTCAGCCTCCAGCTGCAGCTTCCAATCCTCTTCACTTTCATCTTCCTTTTCCAAATCGGTGTTGGGGTACAAGGCAAAAGGGCCGTGGTCAGTGTCGGGGGTGTGGTCAGAGCCCGGAGGGAGGTAAGTGTTGGGTGTTCCCCTGGGACGCCAGGGGCGGGGCTGGAGCAGCACTCGAGCACAGGCATGTGCCCCCACACGGCAGGCCAGGTGCAGTGCTGTGTGGCCCCCCCGCTCTGCCACGTGCAACCCAGCACCTGCTGTATACAACTTCTCCACCGTGGATGCCTCCCCCAGGATGGCTGCCAGGTGCAGGGCTGTCTGCAAAAGCAGAGGGCAGTGGTTAGAGATCGTTCGGAGAACCCTGGTCCCAAGCACTATACTCTGTCCACAGTGGCTTACCTGGCCCAGGTCATTCTGGAGGTCCAGGTACTCAGTGCCAGCTGCAAAGCTTAGGAGGAAATCCAGGAAGGGCTCGTGCTGATGAATCACTGCCAGGTGCAGTGCCCTGAGGGCAAAGACAGGGGGCAGAGGGCAGAGGTCAAGAACTCTTGCATTCCTTCATTCAACAAACATGGAGCACCTACTGTATGCTAGGCAATGTGACCACAGCTCTGGAACCAGCTGTCAGGAATCCAGGAGGGTCAGGTCAGAGTTAATTCAGCAAATCTGTTCAACTGGTGTTTATTAAGCAGGACTTCTACTTCCTTCCAAGATGAAATGACAGGAACTGGATTTCCCTCCCACCAAAAAAATCAGAAAAAAATACAGTACATGAAAGAAGTTTTCAAGACACTGGTCACCCTGCAGTGAATGACAGTTATCCTTGAGAGGCAGGAAATAATCAAGGAGAGCCTTTCGAATGATTGCCACAGCTTAATGTCTTGAGAGAATTTCTAAGACACAGCGCAGGGAAGGGGAACCCAGGCAGGGCCTGGCAGACTGCCTGAGGCGAGATGGAACTGAGTCTGGGGAGAGCAAGGCAGCTAGAGTCATGGGACAGAGGACCCAAAATGTGGCCACAGCTCTGGAACCAGCTGTCAGGAATCCAGGAGGGTCAGGTCAGAGTTAATTCAGCAAATCTGTTCAACTGATTTTGCTGAATCAGAGAGCTGAACGGGGAAAGGCCACAGAGCCTCTCAGGTATGTAGCAGAATACTAGTCAGTGCATGGTGTGAGGGAACTACCCCAGGGTAGGGGAAAACCATCCAAAAAGATTAGAGAAATGTGCCATTGTTCACATGGGGCCAGGAATAGTGCCTGTTCCCACCAGCCAGACTGGGGAAAACCCATAAATTCACAGAACATTATGCAGAATACTCAGGAAAATCTTACTCAGTAGTGGTGAAAATGAGCCTCAGATGCAGCACCACTCAGGACCCACCCCACAAATCCTAAAAACAAAACCCAAAAGGATCAAACTACTGACAAGCAATTTAACTGCATCCCAGAACAATACTTGAGAATATTTATAGGAATCCAAAACTAGCCAGCCTAACAAGATACGATCCACCACAGTTGGCATCTAACCACAGATTATCAAGCATGCAAGGAAGTGAGAAAACATGATCCATAATTAGAATCAATCAATTGAAAGGAACACAGCAATGACCCAGATGTCAGAATTAGCTAACAAGAACATTAAAATGGAACAAGAACATTAAAAACAAGAACATTTATACCTTCACACATTCAAAAAGTGAAGTAAAGGCATGGATGATAAAGAAAGACTCACACTGAACTTCCAGAGATAAGAACTGAAATAGATAACACATCTAAAATGAAAAATATGCTGGGTGGGATTAACAAAACTCCGAATTGCCAAAGAAAAGATGAACAAACTTGAAGACTTCACGATAGCAACTACCCAGAATGAAACACAAACGGGAAGCACGTCAATAAGCTGGGGGACAACTCCAAGCACCCTAATGTATTTGTAACTCAGAGGGGGATCAAAAAAAATTTGAAGATAAAATGTCAGGAAATTTTTCCAAACTTGATGAAAACTATAAACCCACAGATCCAAGAACAAGATATACGGAAAAACAAAGACACCAAGGCCTGGCATAAAAAAAATCTGTTCAAAACCAATGATAAAGATAAAAATCTTAAAAGCAACAAAGAAGATAGCTTAAGTACAGAGGAATAAAAATAAGGGTGACAGCAGATTTCACGTGGGAACTAATGCAAGAGTACAAAATGGAGCAACATCTTTGAAGTACTCAGACTGTCAGAGCTAGAATTCTTTAGCCCAGCAAAAAAATAGCTTTCAAAAACGAAGATGAAATAAAGATGTTTTCAGATACATACAAAAGCCAAAGGAACACATCACCAGCAGACCCACATCACAAGAAATGTTAAAGGAAATCTGCAAGCAAAAAAGGAAAATAATATCAAATGGAAATATGGACCTATACAAAAGAAAAGAGAACACTGCAAATAGTGACTACAGTGACCCTTGAACGACTCAGGGGTTAGTGGTGGTACTGCTCCCCGCCCCTCCACCTCCAACGCAGTCAAAAGTCTACATATAACTTTTGACAACCCAAAAACTTAACTACGAATAGCTTACTGTTGACTGGAAGCCTTACCAATAATATAAACCACCAATGCACACATATTTTGTATGTTACATGTATCACATACTGTATTCTTACAATAAAGTAAGCTAGAAAAAAGGAAGTGTTTCTTCAAATTGTCACACATCTCCAGAAAATGCCCAATATGTTTATTGAAAAAAGTTTGCGTATAAGTGGACACACATATGTCAAACACTTGTTCAAGAGTCAACTGTATATGGGTAAATATGTTAGATTTTTTTTCTTACTAAATAGGTTTCTTTACAAGATAATTTTTAAAAAGTAATGGACTGTTCAAGCAAAATTAATAACAATGTATGGTGGAGTTTATAAGAGTTTATAAGTTAAATCATGTTAAGTTAAACACATGACAACAGCAGAAAGGCCAGAAGGCAACAAATGGAAATATACTGTTCTAAGGCCCTTTGATGGCTCTATGTGAAGTGGCATCATCCCACTTGCAGGTGGATCATACTAAGTTAGAGCTGTACACTCAAGCCCCAAAGCAGGCGTCAGCACACTTCGGTTGAGGGCCATGTAAATATTTTAGGCTTTGTGGAGCACATGGGGTCTCTTTTACTTCCTCAACTCTGCTGCTGTGTGTGATACAAAAGCTGCCAGAGGCAATATGTGAACAAATGAGTGTGGCTGTATTCCAGCAGAACTTTATTTATGGAGTCCAAAATTTGAATTTCAGATAATTTTCACTTGCCATGACATAATAGTCTTCTGATTTTTAAGAACCACACTTACTTAGCTCATGACAGCCATACAAAAGCAGGTGGCTGGCCTGAGTTGGCCTGGAGGCTAACCCCATCTTTCAGAGCCACCACTAAAACAACAAAACAAAGACTTACAGCTAACAAGCCAACAAAAGAAATACAAGGGAACAAAATGTACTCATTCCAAAAGGAGGCAGAATAAGGAAACCACAGGCAAGGAAGAGATGAGTCAAGTAGAAAACTGGAAATAAGATCAACTTAAACATAACTGTATAGATAATTAAATTAAATATGAATTGTCTACACCCTCCAAATAAAAGGGAAAAATTGAAAAAGCAAAATCCCGCTATATGCTGCTGCTGACAGTTAACATCCTTTAAATATAAATATAAAAAAATAGGTTGAAAATAAAAGGGTGGAAAAAGATATACCATGCTAACACCAGTCGGTCAAAAGAAAGCAGGAGTGAGTACTTTCATATCAGAGTAGATTTCAGAGCAAGAAATATACCAGGGACAGAGGTCATTCCATAATGGCAGAGGTCAATTAAGATGGCATAATAATTTAATAACAGAGCATCAAAATACATGAAGCAATGGACAAACCCACAGTCGTTGGAGATTTCAGTGCCCCTCTCGAAATAATTGATAGACTAGGTAGACAGGGATCACCAGCGAGGATACAGCGGACCTGGACAACTATAAACCAACAGGACCTCTAACTGGCATTTAGAAAACACTACACCCAACAGCAGCAGAATACATGTTCTTATTCTTTTCAAGTGCATACATAATTTTCTGGGCCATAAAACAAGTCTTACTAAATTTAAAAGGATTCAAGTCATGTTCTCTGTTCACAACAGAATTAAATTAAAAATCACAAAAAAGCATCCCCAGGATCTGTAAACTAAGTAACATATTTATAGATAAGCTAAAGAAGAAATAAGAAAAAGAAATTAGAAAGTATGTTGAATTAAATGAAAATAAAAACACAGCATATCAGAATTTGTGAGATACTGCTACAGCAGTTCTCTGGGAAATTTACAGCATACAAAACCTATATTAGAAAAGAAGAAAGGTGACCTCAGCTTCCACCTTAAGAAACTAGAAAAAGGACAAATTAAGCCCAAGGTAAGCAAAAGTAAGGCGACAATGAAAGTCAGAACAGAGATCAATGAAATAGAAAGCAAAAAAAAAGAAAGAAAGAAAGAAAATTAATGAAACCAAAGCTGGTTCTTTGAGAAGACCCATGTTTATTGAGTGTCTCACCATTGAGGCACTGTTCAGTCACTGGGATTCAGCAGTAAACAGAACACAAAAAACCCAGGGACAACCCTCACTTGAGCCTCTGCAGATAATCTAGTCTCATTTTCCAGCTTTATTTTTCTCGAAAGAACTTACTACCTCTGACACATTTTTCTTTCTTCTTTAAATTTTTCTGTCTTTCTTACCTTACGTCTATGTGTCTTTCCTTCTCTCTCCCTTTTTTCCCTCCCTCCCCCCCTTTCCTTTCTTTCTGTCGGTCTGTTCTTCTGTCTGCCTATATACACCCCACCACCACCACCGATCCCCAAACCCCGTCAAACGTATACTCCACAAGGGCATAAGTTTTATCTGTTTTCTTTATCAGCAGCACCTAAAACTGGGCCGGGAACATGGTAGTGTTCCGTAAGGATGTAATAGACGAATCCCTGCTGTCATGGAACTTAACAATTTCTCTTTGAATGTAAGATTTAAGATTACTGTTCAGGTGGGAACTTAAGAGCCAGGGGCTAAGTATTAATTTTAGAAATCAAAGTCTGAGGCTCATAAATCAGGGCCTAAGGACCAAAGACCATATTTGGGGGTTAGAGGTCAGGAGGAGCTTGCCTGAGCTACAGTTCCAACAAAAGTCTCAGGACTAGGGTCAGGAATATCAAATCGACTTTGGGGACAGATAGATGTGGAAACTTTGACAGGCAGAGTTCAAGAAAGTAAGGTCTGAAATTATTGGGTTAGGATCAAAGTTGGATAGAATGGTTTTATTAAAAGGTTAGGTCTTGGGGGTCAGAAGTCAAGAGTTGGAAGTCAGATTTAGGAGTGAAAGGTTAGGAAGCCAGGATCAGAGGCTAATAGGCAATCAGATGTCGGATCCAGGGCCTGGTTTGACAACTTAAGATTCACTCACGTGTCCCCATCCTCAGTGACGTAGCCGAAGACAAGGGGCGCCCACGATAGACCCGGGCCCACCTCCGCGTTCAGTCCCGGTCCTCCGGGTGCTGCTGCATCCGGACCCAGGGAGCCCAAGCCGCTGTCGCACCATTCGTCGGCGTCCGCAGCTTTCCCCAAGCACGCGACCCCGGCCATGGCCCCCGAAGCCTCAGGGGCCCCAGCGGCCGCCCGCCTGTCGCTGGGCTCAACCTGGAGTTCTGGCGCTTCCGCCTTGCGGGAAATTCCCCCACACTACCCCTGACTCATCCAATCAGAGTGGGTCAAATAGTTCATGCCCCGCCCCTGTGCTATATTGAGACCAATCAAGGTATTCAGATGGACTGCGGCTCTCTACCCATTCTCACATTTTCCGGGCGCCCGTTACCAACATGGCTGTCGGCGCGGGGCACTCCGGGACTTGTAGTCTAACCCTAGCGCGTCTTCCTTACCTAAGAGGGGCGCGCTCCGGGAATCGTGCCAAAGCGTGTGTGCCGCCGTGGTGGTTGCTGGGAGTTGTAGTTCTCTGCCGGATCTCTGCCCCTCCTGTTTCCGGTGCCATCACGGGACAGAGCAGTCGGTGACAGTACCGAGGGCTCCTGCCCCGCGCTGATGGCCGAACCGGACCGTGAGTCAGGGTCCTCGGTGGGAGGATCGGGCTGCGCCGGGGCCTGACTACTTATTGCAGGCCCCGGGGCCCGAAGGCGCGCGTGGTGGAGTAGGTGATAGGGGATGCATGGGTTGTGGGGAAAAGGGATTCGGGGGCCGCTGCTAAGTGATCCATTTTGCTAGGTTGGTGGGTTTCTGGGTCGCGAGGTTTTAAGGGTTCCTTTTGCCCCTTTCTGAAAATTACTAACAATCGCGTGTGTCTCGCACCTGGGGTTGCTGAGGACCCTTGTTGCTAAGGACTTAGGTTGTCGCGGTCCTGGTTGCTAAGGGTACCTGGTTGTTAGGGGAACTGTAGGACGCTAGGGGACCCCGGTGTCCTCTCCTATCTCTTCCCCTCCAGTTCCTGTGTCTCTCCTAAACTTAATCATCCTCACCGCACCTCCTCCCCCAAACGCGCTTGCAGTAGAAGTAGCTCTTCTCTTCTTTCTAAACTTCCCTGAACTTATAAACCTAACCCTCCCCCGCACACTCACTCACTATGTCCTTTCTAACTCCTCCTGTCTTCCTCCCTGCCCTGTATGCTTTGCTTTCTCCTCCCTCTCCGAAACTTTCTTGCCCAGATTCTTTGTCCCCCATTAACCACCTTTCGTCTCAGCTCTCTCCACTCCAATAAGACCTGCGTTTTCCCATCCCCTCCCTCCCCCTACTCCACTTTTAACCACCTACGCCCTCCCCAGTAGAACTAGATTGGTGGGTCTTCTTGCTCCCCCCACCCCCTGCTGCTTTGAAGCCCCTCATTCCCCCTTAATCTGCACTGTAACCACGTCTGCTCCCCCAGCCTCTGACCCTCTGGAGACCGAGGCAGGGAAGGTGCAGGAGGCTCAGGTGAGATGGGGGAAGGGTGGAGGGAAGGAGAGAGATGGATTTGTTCCCACACCCCACCATGGGGGGAGGTGGCAGAGGGGAGAGAGTAACCCCAGGGCCCTCAGCTCACTGCCCCAATCCCTTGCGTTACCTCCTGGTTCAGCATCCCGGGGAATGGTGGGCTCTGAGGATTGTCAGAGAAGGGTGTGCAGCCTCAACCCCAGGCCTGCCTTCCCTAACTTTCCTCTTTCCTTACCCACCCTTCCCCATCCCTCTGAACCTCATTTGTGCTAAGCATGGGAGAGCAAGGCATCCGATTTGGCCCCTGAACTCACAGATCTTATGAACAAGTGACTAGAAAATGACCCTACAGGGTGACTATCGAAGTAACTCAGGGCTCTGTAGGAGACCAGAGTAAACTCAGTGGGCTCAGAGATTCCGGCCAGTCCCTTCTCTGGAGCAATCCACAGGCTGGTCTAGGAGTCAGATTAAGATACAGAAACACTGGTTAGTAGAGTGCCTTTGATTTTTCTTAGGCAAGGTGAGAAATGGTGTTCCACGTAGAAGGAACAGCTGGTGCAAAACCTGGGGCCTGTGAGAGTGTGATATGTTCAGCAGCTGAGTAGCTGGGGGTGGCCAGCTGATTGTATTCATGGTTAGCATTTACTGGCTCTTTACTCCAACCAGGAACACATCTCAGTGCTCTGTGTACATCATCTCCTATCATCTTCCCAGCATCCCTGTCATGGGCAAGGCCTGTTGTGGCCATTTTACAGATGAGGAATTTGGAGGCATTTGTTGAGTAACTTGTCCTTTGACCCTTGGCTAGAACAGCAGGGACAGGTTTGCAACCCACAGTGCCTGGCACATCGCCTTTCAGATGCTTCCGGGAGGGGTAGACAGGGTGCCTCACCAAGGCTTGAAGGTCCTGCCAGTTCCTCCAGCTCCCCCTTGAGCCAAGTTGCTCCCGCATCCTGGGCAAGGCCCTCGAGTGCTTTCACAGAGCCCTAGTGTCTGCAGCCTGAAAGAATGCCAGCCCACCCACAGGCGCAAGGTGGCTGTCCAGATGTAGGGCAGAGTAGAAGTGATGAGAAAAGCCCCTCACAGATGCATGGCAGAGCAACACTGAGGTCTAAGCGCTTCCCATCAGGCCTGGGCTTAGCTCCCACAACACAGCCACTGTCAGAGGAAAAGGTTTCATGTTAAAAAGGGATCCTCAGTCCCAAAGACAGAAATTCGAGGATGTAAATTGTAGCATTATGTACAATAGTGCAAAACTGGAAGCAGCCCAAATGCCTGTCAGTAGATGGGTTAAATGAACTATGGTGCATCCTTACAATGCAACACTATGGAGCCACTTAAAAGGATGAGGTGGGTCTATAGTACGTTGTTCAGTGGAAAATGCGAGGTGCAACATTGTGGTATGGTATGACCCGTTTCTGGAAAAAAAAACTGTGAGTTTTATATGCACAGAAAAAAATCTGGAGTAATTACCATTGTACTCTTGTTGTCTTGACAGGGCTGGTAAGGGAATTAGAGGCAAGTGCCCCCAGTTATATACACGTTGTCTAATGGTTAACATTTTTGCAAAGCTTATACTATCTTAAAAGGCAATAAAAAATTGTAAAGCAAAAATAATTCTTTAATTTTAAATTTAAAAAATTTTTTTAAGCAATAAAGAAATTTTTGATCTAAAATTTTTAATTTGTAAGGAAGGTTCTATTCAAAAAAGGCTTTGAACCAAAGTAGTAAGTGATAGGGGCAGAACTTGTGGAGGGGCTTAAGCAGGAGAGGGAGTTGGTCAAAATTGTGTTTTCACAACAAGGTCCATTGCAGGGCCCAGCCCTGGTCTAGCACACAGCAGGTAATCGTTTGTTTGGCGGAGGAAGGTTCTGGAGCACCTGCCAGGTGCCAGACCTTGTTCTTGGTGCTGAACATCCAGTGGTAAACATGAAAAATGCCTGCCTTCTTGGAGCTGATACCATGGTGAACTCCATAGATGTTCACTATCAGATAAACAGACTACAGAAGCCAGAGGGAAGGGCCTTTGGGATGGAGAAAAGTGGCCAACCCAGCCAGGCCAAAACAATGGGGGCCGTGGAGCAGACTGGAGGAGGAAACTGAGGCTGGGAACCTAAGAAGGAGGCAGAGACAGGGACCCCCCAGGGGAGGGGACAGGCTACACCTGGTGGTCTTGTTGGAGCCCTCTGGAGGGGACACGTTATAGCAAGAGGTATCTGGCAGACTGAGGACAGAAGCCACACTGAAATGGGGCCCGGGAAAAAGAATAGGCTTTGGGGAGAGGCCCAGGGTGGAGTGAGGGGCCCCGGGTCATTTATGGGGAGGCACCCAGGAGGTCTCAGGAAACCTAGATCTGGGGTCAGAGAGGTGGCCTCATCGGTGTGCAGGCCGAGGCCACTGGCATTGTTGAGACAGCCCAGGGAAGGTGGAGAGGGAAGCAGGGAAGGCCTAGGAGAGCCCGAGGCTGCGATATGGGAGCCTGGCTGGGGGAAGGAGTTGATAAAGGCCATGTAGGGGCGGGGAGGGCGGTACTGGGGCTAACAGCCACAGGGCAAGGACCCAGGAGTTGGCACTGGCATTACTCACAGGACATGGCAGTGAGGAGGGCTTCGGGGGCACTGTGAAGGGCGCAGGCCTACACTCTGGAGAGCAGGAGGGGTGCGCGCAACAATGTGGACCCTGGGCACTTGTTCATAGCAGTAGGAAGGGCTTCCTGGGATGGGACCTGCCCCCAGCTGCTGCTCCAAGAGCCCCGTACAGGTTCACTCATCTCTCCTCACCATAGTGCTCTGAGGTGGGTGTCCTCGGAGCTCCACTGCTGAGAGGAGGAGCTTCGAGACCCAGAAAAGCAAAGTTAGGAGACTCCTCCTTGTACAGCAGGCCCAGGTTCCCAGCACAGGCAGCCTGTCCCAGAGCACACAACTGGGCAGGTCCCCAGACCTGTCTCCCCACCGTCCCGCACTCTCTGGCCCACCTCCCAGCTAGAGCCTTTTCCCCAAACCCAGTGCCATCCTCCCCTCCCTCCCTAACCCCACTTCTGGGCCTGGTCACCCCACCCCCACCCCTTCCAGGACACAGATTCAGACACTGAGGGAGAAGCTGCTGGCGGAGAAGCAGAAAGTGAGTCTCTTCCTGGGGGCATGGTTGGGGGCTGGGTTAGGGCAGGCATCTCACCAGACCCCTCACCACCACCAGGGGTGATGTCCAAAGAATGGAATAATGGGGGTGGTGTGGGGCCTGGAGGCCCCTCTCTGGGCCAAACATTGAGCCTTTAGTTGTGGGAAGGCAGGGGAGCCCAGGGCTGAGGCAGGACACCCCAGCTGAGTGCCCATCAGGCCACTGACTCTCTCTTTTTTGGCCAGTGGACTTCCTGCGGAGTTTCTTCTCCCAGACACTGGGCCTGGGCGCACAAAAGGAGCGTCTACTGGATGACCTAACCCTGGAAGGGGTGACCCGCTACATGCAGAGTGAGCGCTGTAAGTCCCCTACCCGCACTGGGCCTCTTACCCACTCCGGGCCCTAGGTGACTTCTCCCAGCCATAGCCTCTTGACCCATTCAATACCTTTTGTTTGCAAGAAACAAGAAACCCAAATCAAAGTGGCTCAAATTAAAACAGGAGTGTGTTGATGCTGTTAACTAAAATCTACCTTTAAGCATGGCTAGATCCAGGGGCTTCCATGTTGTTGTCAAAAATCTTAATCTTCTCTGGCGCTGCCCTCCTCTGTGGTGGGGCCCAGATAG